ATCCAGCTCTCCTTCCTTCTGTCTATCATCTAACATCATCTGTCTATCTATCAATCTATCTATTATCTATCTATCATCTGTCATCATCTATCTCTCTATCATCTATCATCATCTATCTATCAATCTATCTATCACCTATCTATCATCTGTCATTATCTTATCTATATCTATCTATCTATCTATCATCATCTGTCTATCTATCATCTACATAATCAAGCTGTTTTTTATTCTTTTGAATCCATCTCGGGTGTCACCATCAAAATCAGTGGTGTGCTGGGGGCAGTTTGTATCAGCTCATGTCAGCTGATTATGCCTCACTTCCCAACTCAGCATTCGACATTATACCAATAGCTTGAAATAGACCATGGTGGGAGAGTTTAGACCAGTTAATAAATCAGAGCTTTTTTCTCCCAGAAAGCTGGTTATTAAACTTTTGTCAGCACACCAATGGGTCAAAACTCATTAGGTAGGTCCATGAGACCTCAGGCATGAACTTAAACTAATGCTGAAGCGGAAGGGAATGGGGAGTAGATATAGGAATAAATGGGAAGCTGCAGAAAACTTCAGTAATTGCTAACTATGTCCTTCTTTTGGGAAACTGAAAAGTATAGCTACTCAATTATAGATAATTTTAAAAATTCATTACTTAACTGATCCTACATCTCTCACATGAGATTTGCCTCCCTCAACCACAGTCCAGAAATTGTGGTTTCTCTAACTGATGTTCAACCGATCTTAATGGAACTCAAAATGAGTGAATGGGGGTGGAACTTGGTTGCTGGGAATATTTGAAACTGGTGGGGCGAGTAAGAAAGACATCTTTAGATTTACTACATAGTTCCCTAAATGTCCACTTATTATTTTAGTACCTCCAGTAATTGACTGTTAAAGGCAACAGTGGAAAAACAAGTCCTTTGAAATAACAAAAGCTAACATTTATTATTTATAATAATAACAATAGTAATAACTATTAATATATATAACACTTAACTATGGGTACCAAGCACTGCTCAATGCAAGTACTGTGCATATATAAACTCAATAAATACAGCAAACCTATGTGTCAGGTTCTACAATTACCTCCATTTTACATGTGAGGAAACTGAAGCTCAGATTGGTTGCATTAGTTGTGTAAGGTCACCCAGCTAAGTAGGGAGTAGAGTAAGGATTTGACTCTGGGTATCCTTAGACTATGTTCTTAACCAGAGAAAGGAAGATGCCATAAAAAGGTGAGAGGGCTAAATGCTTACATAGTTTCAGTTGTAAAATGTAAGTGCTCCAAATTAAGGTTATCTAGGTCTTCATTTTTGAGAGAAGGTATAAAAGACAAAGTGCCACGATGAGAACCTAGACACAAAGACATCACATTGGTGTCAGGTGAAAATAAGAAAGCCCTCCCCCCACTTGTATTTCACCTATTTTCTCTGTGGGAGTTGGGTCAAACTCAATGATTTTCTTAGATAACATTCAGTGTTCTCATTCCAAAGAGGGATCATCTTGGATGAACAGAGACTTCTATTTAGAGGATAGTGAGGCTGGACTGCTTGCTTGCTGGCAGTGAAAATAGCTTTAAATCTTGGGTTTCATCAGGCCATTCTTTTCAAAGGACCTAATGGTGTCATTACTTCTGGACATTGTCATGAGATCTTATAGTGTGAGTTTTCTGGGAAAGAGGGAGGAATATCCACTACAGAGTAGGATTATGGTTAAAGGAAGATGCATGAAAACACACCTTTATTTTCTGGGCACAAGAAAACGGTGATGAAGGCTAGAATAAGAGAAGAGAAAGATCCTTACGATGTCTTGGGCTCATCTGGCTAGTATCTTCTGAGTCATCTTCCAGGAAGAAAATTGAAGTAAAGTTCTTAACTGATATTGTCTGTCGGGTTTGTTCATCCAGAACTATAGAGAAAAAGTAGAAGGAAGGGAGAGGGAGGTAGGGAGGAAGGAAAGACGGAAGCAAGTGAGCAAACAAGGACGGAGGGAAGGAAGGGAAAGTAAAGGAAGGAAAGAAAGGAGGGAGGGAGGACTGGTCATATTTATTGGGCATTTCTTGAGCATCTCTTTTATTTAGTTAATGCCAGTCAGTGTTTGGGTAGACAGTGGAGACTCTCATTTGACCATCATCTCTCTTCCATGATGCTGTTTGTAGTCTCAGCTTTCTTTTCAGTGTATGTCCCCATGTCTCTTCATATACATGCCTGAGCTTTCTGTGTTTTAATGGTTATGATTTTTTTGTCATCAAGTAAATGTGGTTGTGAGTTGAAACTCAGGGCCAGTGGTGTAGGGGGGTGGGCATGGTGAGAAACTCTCTGCTCTTCTACCTCTATTCTCACCTCTTTGTTAATTCATTTACTCATATGACTTTTGTTCCAAACTTGAGCCTCTAGGACTTTGTCATTCTTTTACTCAAATGTCTCACCCATATCCAGAATATCTCCTTCCTTTCACCAGCCTATATGTTGTATAGGTCAGGTGCTCAGCCTATGCCAAAGCTCATAGGTTCAATTCCTATCCTACCAGGATGCCTTTCTCTGTCTCATGGACACAAACTGATTTAGAATCTGACTTATGTGTTGATGGAACAGGCTGAAGTTTGGTTGTGACAGGGTTATGGCTATGTCAGATTAATATGATACCTACTACTTGCAATATAACTATAGAAATGGAGACAAACCGTTTAATTCTCACACAGTGCAGAAGGGAAATTTCCTTTCTTTCTTGGAAAATTGGCTGAAGTACCTAAAGATACCAAGGCAAGAGGAGGTACCATAGCTAAAAGTCAAAGGGACTCTCTTGCTACCTGGACTTCTGCTCAATTCCAATAGATCAAGTAGAACACACTTGGTCTTATACCATCTTCTGATATGTTTTCCAAAGAAGCATGTGGGGAAGAAGAGGGAAACCAAAATGTTAAATTAAGAAGATGGAGGAGTTGAAAGTTGGAGGAGTTTTTATACTGAGTTGGAAGTTTGCAGTCTGTCATGAGTTGTGGGAAATGGCAATCAATTCCAGAGCTGCCAGAGCTACTCTCAGGACCCTTGTGCCTGATTAATACTGTACAAGACATGCAGGGACGAATACTACTTTCTTTCTAAAATAGTCACAGGCTTGGTGGTTCGATGGAAACAGAACAGGTGTAAAAAAATTCATGACTGCTGGTGAAAGCCAACAGAGCATTGAGGAGCTATAATTGTTTATAATGAGTGTTAGTTCCAAAAATAAATGAGTAGCAAGAGTTGATTACCTGAGAGGTAAGTGAAACCAAAGGGGCAGCTTACTAAGACTGATACTTTTCAAATCATCAGAGTTTGAGGACTAATTTTGGATGGCATATGAATGCAGAATTTAGTGAAATTTTGGTAATGTCATCATATAGAAAACCCAGACCAGTAAACCATTTACTGGGATCTTCTCTCTTCCCTACTTAAGTTACCACAACCCTAGGATCCTTACCTTGTTCAATTTGGAATATGATGAGTTTCAAGGATTTCTGGAGATTCTTGGCCTTTGTGGCCAGCTCCAACTTGCACTTGGCTATGTGGTCTGTTTGAGGAACAAAGGGCTTTCCATCTGCCTTGCCAATGTCTGCACATACTGTAGCATACTTCTCAATTGTTGCCTCCTCAGACAGGACATCATTTAGGACATTGAGCTTGTCATACATTAAGTCACTCTATACAGGGAAGAAGGAGACAGAATATTGTTATGAGGGATCAGTGCTTGAGAAGACAGAATGAAGAGGTGGGTGGTATGGGGAGAAATGGGAATGGGTAGTAGTTGGGCAGAAACATTGAGCATAGAAAACTACCTATTGGGAGATGAAAGTTTGGAAAAAGAAGTACTTGGGTAGATATGATGAGATAACCAAAGAATGTTAGGGAATCAAACAGATATCATTTGTTTCTGGGCAGCTATGGGAATCAATGTATGTTGCTGAGTCTCTCTCATGTCAGACTGGCCTGTAAAATGGTATGTAACATGGCAAACATGAGGAAAGATAAATATTTCTGGATTGATATTTTCACAGGCATACTCCTATGGATATGGATGTGTCTCTGCGTGGGTACCTGGTGTCTGCCTTTGTATGTGGGTATGTTTGTGGATATACTGATTATGGCTTGATTCCCAGCTCTATCACTTAATAGTTTGTGATTTGAGGCAAGTTACCTAATCTCTTTGTGCTTTTATATTCTAGGGCAGTTTTGAGGATTAGATAAATCCTCACAGAGCAAGTGCTATGTAAGAGTTAGCTATTGCTGTTGCTGTTGTTATAGAGAGGAATGTGGGTGTATTTCTAATATGTATTTGTACATATTTTCAAGCATGTTCTGGTATACAACCATGTACATATCTGCTTGGTGTGCACTTGTGTGTAGGTGTGGATGGATGCTTGGTATATGGTTAGGTACCTGGTACATGTATAAGCATGCATAGTTCCACTCTTCATTTGGTGAAAGATGTAATTTTGATGAGATGGATGTTCCCCATCAGGGAGGCTTACTAGCTGATCTTCCCTGCCTTTCTCTTACAATTCCCAGTGAGAGGCACTTTTATTAAAAATGGGGCCCTGGCTCCACAAAGAGTATAAGACTAAAGGAATGGAAACTTACTTTCAAAATCACAGACTCTATTGCTGTATTGTTCTGTTTTATCTGACTCCAGGCCTTTACAATATCAACCACAAAATCTTCCACTGCAGAGCATAGGAATCTGGAAATACAAGATAGATGGCACAATGCGACATGGACTATGAGATCCAGAGCCCTTTTCTCTTATAATGTCATTATTCTCCATCTTCTTCCTCCTTCTTCTTTATCCTTTTCTTGATCTCTCCTCCTTTCCCTTCCTTTCAGCATTTCCCTTCACT